GGTCCTAAAGCTTGCGATAACACACCTTTAGCCACCCCGCCTGTTTCGTCTATGTATAAGGTATTTACCTTGGTCAGGTCTGGCAAGGCGAGGGCAGGAGCTGAAAGCAAAGCTTTCTTAATGTCTTCAAATGCCGTCTGATGTTCAGGATTCCAGGTAAATAGTTCCTGATTTCTGGTTAGAGGATACAGGGGGGGCTGCCAAGAAGGCAAACCCGGGTATCCACAGGAGACAAAACCCAGCTGTCCCTAGGAATTCCCTTACCTGCTTCGGTGAGGAGGGAGTCGGGATGTGCAGTACAGTCTTTTTCCGGGCCTCTGTTAGCCACCTTTGCCCATCTCTCAGTACATACCCTAAGTAAGTCACTTCAGTTTTGCACAGCTGGGCCTTTTTTGGCTGAGGCACGATAGCCTAAAGTCCCCAGCTCTATTAGAAGCTTCTTTATACTTTCAATGCATTCCTCTTCAGTTAGGGCAGCTAGGAGCAGATCATCTACATACTGTAACAAAGTTACCTGAGGGTTGCTGGTCCGGAACTCACTGAGGTCTCGGTGCAGGGCCTCATCGAACAGGGCTGGCGAATACTTAAACCCCTGAGCCAATTGACACCAGGTTAATTGTCCCGTTATCCCGGCCTCAGGGTCTCTCCATTCAAAGGCAAAGATAGCTTGGCTAGAGGGATGCAACCTCAGACAGAAAGAAGCATCTTTCAAGTCTAAGACAGAATACCATTTTCTCTCAGGTGGTAGCATGCTGAGGAGAGTGTAAGGGTTAGGAACTGTGGGGTGTATATCCTGCACTCTCCGATTCACTTCTCTTAGATCCTGCACTGGCCGGTAGTCATTTGTCCTTGGCTTTTTCACAGGGAGGAGAGGAATGTTCCAGGGGGATTGGCACGGCACTAAAACCTCTTGTGTTATTAACATGAAGATGTGTGTTCGGATTCCCTCCTTGGCTTCTTTACTCATAGGATATTGTCTAACTCTAATGGGGGAGGTGTCCGCTTTTAATTCCACTACTATCAGTGGAACATTTTTAGCCATACCTAACCCC